ACTTTAAGGGCATTTAAATGGTCATTGGATAAACATATGGATGATAACGGAATAGTTTAGGTTAGATGGGCTTCAGATTGGTTTCACAGGTCGGCGCAACATCGAGGGCCGAAGGGCCTGTACTGCGCTGTAATGTTCTATGTTCTGTGTTCTATGTTCTATTAGACAATGCATAGCAGTGGTCTCCAATAAGGTCATTCAGGAGCAAATCCTGAGGAGCCCAGTCAGGACCAGGATCATTTTGGTGGGGTGGGAGGCATGACGGACCGAAAGGACTCCCTCTATGTTGTAAAACTTCTGCAATTCTGGTACTGAGATCTTGCTGTGCAGTAAAGCAGTCAGTCACAGGTCAGTCAGTTTACCCAGACTCATTTACCTCTGCCCAAGGGAGTAGGGCTCAGCGCAGTATCGGGGGCAGCAAAATATTTGGGCGGGGGCCACATTTGGTAAGGCAAGTATTTGGGAGGGCAAAATATTTGGAGCAGGGGTCAGATTTGGGAGGGGAGTGAAAATGATGGTCAAAATGTTTTGAGGGTTGCAAAATTGGGTGGGCACTTTCAGGTCTGAAAGAGAGAAAAAGAGAATGGGAGATAAGGAGGGTAAGAGAGAAAGAGATGGAGTAAGTGACAGAGAAAGAGAAATGGAGAGAGTGGGGATGGAGAAAAAGGGACAGAGAGAGGGACAGGGAGTGAGAGAGAGAGAGAGAAGGGGAAAAGTAAGACAGAGGCAAATAGAAGCTAAGACATGAACGGACTGAAGAGGTGATACTGACTATTCCAGTTAGTCCCAGCTCTCTCGATGGTTTCTCACACTCCCTCTCTCCCATGAGCGACAGACCTTGCTCCAGCCTAGGAACGTATCAATGTGTCTCCATGTTTGTCTGTATCTCTGTCTCTGTGTCTGTGTCTCTGTCCAATGGGGTTTCTGTTGTTCTGGGGGTGAATCCTCTCTCTCTCTCTCCCTCTGCCCCTCTTGTGTTTAAAGTTATGCAATGCCCCCTACTACTGGGCTGACCATGACACTGCACAAGCAGTGAAAATCTTTCACATTGCATAATAAAAACTGAAAGAACTGCTTATGCTGTAAATCAGGAACAAAAACAAAGTTGCTGGAAAAGTTCAGCATGTCTGGCAGCATCTGTGAAGGAGAAAACAGAGTTAACCTTTCGGGGCCGGTGACGCTTCCTTATATCTGTTTTGTTCTTCAAAGAATATTTTTGGAGACAGCAGTATTGCTCGATCCCTTGCGATGTTGTCTTTGAGATATGAGGAGAAGGATTTGAACATGCCCAGTGCTGGTTTCATCCCATCCAGCTTTGAAACCTTTTTCAGTTAGAATTTGTGAGAGTGTATCACAAGACAATGTAATCTACAGAAAGTGCAATAAAATTCACCTGTCTCCTCATGAAACGGTTCACTTGGAAGTGCCTGGATAAAGTTGCAGTAGAAACACTCTACTTAATGTATACGATTTCAGGAATATTACTCAAAGACAAATCATTTTCACATTGCAGAGGGAGCATAACGTTTCTCTACATCAGCATATTCCACACTGAGGGAACTCAGTCCAATTGCAGCCCTTTCCACACCAGCCTTTTGTTCGATGTGTGTGTCAATGCTGATGGTGCTGTGAGCTGCTGCCATCCCTCTCTCCCTCGGTGACTGAATCCTTCAAGCTCTACCACACCCTATGGTGTGAGGAGGCCAGCAGAGGGTGGCCTTGTATCACTTTAACACAAGGGAGCTTTGTTGCAGTGTTTTAAGTCTTCACCTCATGACAGAAAATTTGTTTGTACTGCAATGGGGTAGCTGCCTATTGCAATTGGGAAGCTTGATACTGAAAAAGATGACATTTGTTATCTTACATAAGTTTTATTTATTCATAACACAAGGAATTTGTGTAACTAGATATTTTATAGCATAGCTGAAATTTGCTCTGAACCTAGACAACGTTGCTGCAGAAATAAATGATGAGTGGATTCTGATAATGTCATGTAATCACCTGCCACAATTTCTCACATTGAAACAGTTCATAGGTGATTGTTTGTGACATTAGTATGGAGTCTATTGAATTGTTACTGAGAAGTGAGACCATGTATTTAATAGTCAAATTGTTTTAAATTCTATTTAATTGTATCAGAATCCTCCGAAGGATTTGATTTTGATGGAGACTTACAGAGGGTTCCAAGCTGATAGGAATTACCCAGTTGGAAATTACATTTCTCCAGACAATTCCTTTGGATTGTGCTACGATGGGGACTCTGCAGGTTTCCAGCTCAACTCTCTCCCTGCACTGGGATAAGGACTTTCTGTCAGGAGTCTGATGGAATACTCCCCACTTGCCTGGATGGGTGCAGCTCCAACAAACGCTCAAGAATCTCGACACCATCCAGGACAAAGAAGCCCACTTAATTGGCACCAGTTCCACAAGCATCCACTCCCTCCACCACCGATGCTCAGTAGCATGGACTGTAGCGGTTTAAGAAGGCAGCTCACCACCACCCTCTCAAGGGACAACTAAGGACAGGTAATAAACATTGACCCCCAGCCAGTGATGCCCACATTCCACGAGTGAATAAAAAATCATTCTATGGACTGGAAACAATGGGACCCTCCTGTGGGCTACACTGAAGAGTTTTTTATAATGCAAGGAAATCGTATAACCAGGTATTTTACCGCATAACCGATCTCTGCTCTGAACCTAGACAATGTTGCTGCATAAATAAATGTGTTTGTGCAACAACTTAGGTTCTGCAGCATAAAACCAACAGCGCTCAAGTCATAAAGAAACGGCGAGTAATCGGCAGTATTCATTCCTTGAATGACATAATATAAGAAATTTACAACAAATATTAACCATAGAAGGATGAAGCTCCCAGATATGGTGAAGAGCAAAATCACAGACTTCCTTCTGCTCTCCATCTCTGGGTCTCTGCGATTCTCTCCTTTGCTCTCACCCTTCAGGCAGTTCCGGACTCGACTGGTCACTAAAATGTGTCTGACTGTCAGAGCATTGAAAGACAGAATTAAAGCGAATGGCAGTAAAGGGGTTAAAACTGTATCAAGCCAATCTAATATCACCCACCAAGTCTCAGTAAAGTAGCTTGACTTTGTTTTGCAGTAGAACGGCACATTGTTGTTTATCGTCCGAGGTTCATATTGAAAATAGAAGGGGATGTTTTTCAGACAGAGCAGGGTGCAGGTTGTTGCTAGTACCACAGTTGCAGTTTTCTCAGTAGAATATTTTGTTCTCAGCTTCTGGCAACAAATGGTCACAAATCGGTCAAAGGAGAAAGTGACAGTGAACCAGACAGAGCAGGTAGTGGCTGTACGAAACAGGACCCCAATAACGCTACACACAGGAGTGATGTCCAGGAAACACTGCCCATAATAATAATAGGGAAATCTCCTCAGTACAACATCAGTGATAATAACCATCAGATCGGCAGCTGCCATAACCACCAGGTAGCGAGCAGTGCAGGGGGAAACACCACACTTTCCCCGGTAAAGGATAACAATCGCCAATAAATTAACTGCCGGAAACAAATGTTAAAAGACATGGTGAATTATTGATCAGAAATTCTTCTTGTCTCTTCCAGAGAGCAACAATAAGATATTAATACCAATACCTGGTACACAGTGTGAGTGGAAGTGGTCAGGATTGACTGAGTTTGAATTTTAAGACTTTCACAGCTACCTTAGATTGTTACTCCAGAGATTATGGAGTTCAGACAGGAACAGAGCTCACACATCCTCCAACGAGAGCAGAAGGATGGCTGTGATTTTGTCTGGTTGCAAGGTACCTATTTGAATGACTGTAATTGACTATTACAGTTCTCAGCTCCAACTCTGGCAGGTACAGAACCCTATTAGAAACCTCATTCTAAACTCGGTCATAGGACTGGCGATTGGTGTGTCAATAAACCAAACTCTCCCCTTCTCCATGGATCAGGTCATCCCCTGCTCTTAGCATTGAACTAAATCCTGACCAGAGCCACAACAGGACCTGGAAACAGGTCATCAGAACCTGTGTAAGATTTTAAACAATCTTCTCCATGTGTCTCATACAAGTGCAGCATAACAGAGCATGCAGGGCTCCCTTAGTGACAATGTGTGAGTGCTAGGACTGCAGTGATATTTACACTGTAAATCTATACATCTGTATATGACAAACATCTCAACGTGCAGGTATAAGGCAGGCAATCTGTCAAGATTTGAATTTCCTGACCAGAGATAGTGAGGACGAGAGAATTTCCAGAAGGAATGGTAGTTAGATGAAGCTTTACAAATTAAAACATGGTGGATATCCCTCAATTCCTTTGCTTAAACAAAAAAAATCTCAGATTTAAAATTCACAACTGATCCAGTACCCACTGCCATTTGTGGAAGAGAGTTCCAAACCTCTCCCACCCTTTGTGTGTAAAAATGCTTCCTAACATCCCTCTTGAATGCTCTGGCCCTAATTCTCAAACCATGCTGCGTCATTCTAGAATCCCCAGCCAGTGGAAATAGTGAATCTTTATTGACTCTGTCTTGTTAATATTTTGAAGACTATGAACAGATTACCCTTAACCATTAAAATTCTAGCAAAAACAGGCTTCATTTGTATAATAAAAACAGAAATTGCTCAGCAGGTCTTGCAGCATCTGTGGGAGAGAAAGCAGAGTCCAGTGACCCTTCCTCAGAACTAACTTGCATGATCTCTCCTCATATCTTCAAAAGCATGAAACCGAACAGATGACAGAACACTGAGGTCAGAAAATGCTGCAGCAGCAGTGAAGTGAGGCGTCTCTATCAATGGAGAATTGTACCCAGAATGTTGCTTGGTGAATTGCTATCCCTGTTCTGGTGTCTGGTTAAGGCTGACCAGCCAGTGAGCTGGAGATGTTATTGTTCGAAAGCTAAAATTAGAGATCAGATCATCAGCAGGTTAAAACAAATTCAATTGTCATAATGCCATACCAGGGATGCCAATAAAAGCAAGGATGGTGTAGAACACCTTCTGCACATGTTGAATTGGTCGATGCATTTTTCTGTACAAGGTGATCTGTCTCTTCAGGCAGCTGACAAGCTCCTTGTTTGAATCTCTGAGCTGATGCATTCCCAGAGACGTTGACTTATACTGTGCGGAAGCTCCTTGGAGAGATCGAGGTTACAGCATTACTCAGCTTTGTTGCTGTTTTTTCAACTTTCTGTAAATTAACAAACTAATTACAATAACAAAGTTTAATCCCAATTATGAAGGACCGTTGCTGTTCAGCATATCATAATGAAATAACAAAAAACAAATCTGCAAACTGCCAGCAATAACCCTGTTCACTCAAACACCATGAGCCCCATCCCGAGATCACAAATTATTTCAACCAATGCTACATCAGGACAGTTTATTCCAAGTGTGAAAATATGTCTCAGAGCTGTCCTTCTGTGTTCTAGGGGTTGGAGCTGCTCTCTTCAAACAAGAACATTTTATTGACAGGGAGCTCAGTGCACTAGATGGTCTTCCAACACAGATACATCACTGATCTTAGTCTTATTGTCACTCTTCATCCTTCTCAAGCGGCAACTAGGGACATAATAAATGCTGGCCAGCAAATGACGCCCACATCCCACGAATGAAAAGGAATCAAGTGACAACCCTGGGAGTTCTATGTACCTTACAGCTCCTGTGCGTGTGCCCAGGCATTATTATAGCGAATGTACCCATCTGTTGGGATATCAATCTTTTGCAGCCAACAATCATAACAACCAGTATCCTGAGATATATCAAGTTGAGTGCAATTAGAACCACAGCTTGATCTGAAAGGACCCAAATCCATGGATGACAGGTTATGGGCATGTGATGGTGTGGCCTGTTCCTTCACATTTACTTAAGAGTGGTCCCTGTCAATGTCCACTATCTCTTGACAGCATATGGGAGGGTGTCATGATAACACATCCAAATACCTTATTTATATAATTCCGATACTTTCGACTTCAAAAGGCCTCATCCCAGCTTTGTCACTGGGGATAACTGGAATCCCTAGCACCAAGCCCAGTGCCTCACCGAGAGAGTCCCTGCAGCTGGCATTAAAAGTGAGCTGCAGCAACTGACAGTGAGAGATGTTCGTGTGGGTCTTCTCCTGGAACAAATGTTCATGCTGTTTGTCACTAATCTGGAACGGCACTTTCCCTTGGCTAGCCTGCCTGAAGTCCTCCTTCGGCTGTTCAATCATCCCATAGATACCGCACAATGTGCAGTTTTGTTGTTCACCGTCATCCCTGATTTGGCCCTGGATGGTCTGGTTAATCATCTTGGCATAACCCTCCAGTATGGTCACTGCGTGATGGCTAGCCTGATTCTCCACTGGTTGACCCATGGTCTCCTGTTGATTGTCCGTATTCAGTCCTTCTAGGGCTCGTTTCACTTGTTGGGTCAAGATCCTGAGTTTATTGTCCAAATTAGCCAGGTCAAGGGTATCGACCAATAACACTCCTGCTCCATATGTTGTGGCTAGAACATTAAGGAGTTTCCTTCTCTTTCATCTGTTAACTGCTGGTCTGGGGTTTTTCTCAAATTTCCCTGTCACTCATCCCATTATTCTGCGGGTCCGCTGGGAATATAATTATTTTAATGGGGAAGGACATCACTTCAGTAACTGTACCCCTGATGTATCTCCTATGATTGGCATTAATGTGTAGTGAATGTTATCGAACAAGGTTTTCCCTGTGAGTTTAATCACTAGTCCATTGCAAGGCCCTGGTTAGTGTGGGACAAGGTGGAGAAGGAGCCTTCACTCCTGGTCTCAGCCCCTTTTTAATTTAGTTGTCGAGGAATTCTCCCTGTTTCAGCTTCCCCGGGCATCGATGTCTGAACTCTGACATCTTTTCCAGGCTGTGTGCTAGGCACCACACTGTCCTGCAACCTTTCTTGGGGAAACCCCACCAATTGTCTGTGACCCCTGCACTCCTGTAACACAATGTGGAAATCCCATGGGTTTTCCTGTACACCACGAGCTGATGGTTACACCTGAATATCACCGATTCCGCAGAGTGGACCCAGAGGGTGCCACCTACACACACCGCGGTGTCTGGTGGGTCATTCCACAGGGGTCCTGGGTACATCCTTTTCCCTTGTGCTCGTGCTACATATCTTTACATACGGTCATTATAAAGCATATATACAACACACAATACACACTCCAGGAGGTCACATTCGCTACCTTGGAGTAGTCACTCTGGTGCGCTTCCTAAAAAGAGAATGAGAATAAATTCTGTAAATATTTTGGTCTAATATCTGCCACCGTATTCTACATGACATTAGAAAATGGTCAAATTATCCAACTGACACACATTCCTGGTTCCCCCCACACCGCCCCCCACCCCGCCCCACCCTGCAAAAGAATAAATATGCCCCGTGTGCACGATGTGGTGTGGAAGGTCACAATGCCCCCCAGGGTGTAAATGGATGTTTCCCAGCAACGGGAGCTGTTCCTGATTGACTACTACGTGGCAGCTTATGCACGCGGGACTGGGGAGCCTTAAAGCTGTTTCCATTACGGAGTCATCCCTGACATCCTCAATGTATAAACCACAGCCTGTTTTCACTCCAGCTGTTGCTGCCAGGATGATACTCTGGGTATTGGCCCCCTTTTTCAGACTTCCCATTGCCAGGTGAGTATCTTAGGTGCCTGGCAGTCTCGAATGAAGTGTCTGGTTCGGCCACAGTTAGAGCACAGATTGTGATAGGGGTTCATTTGTGAGAGTTCCCTTCTTTTGGGCATGGACCCGTATGGAGGGGTAGTCTGTCTGGGCTCCTTGCTCTATTCCTTCAGACCGTGCTTGTGTGGACTGATTTTCAGGATGACTGCAGTGGCATTAGCTCCCTTTCCCAAACTGCGACTAATTTGCAGAAGACCCGAGCCTCATTACGGGAGGCATCCCGGGGGTCCAGACATCCCAGGCATGCATCCCTCCCTCTTTCTGAAGTCTAGGAGATGAGGGGTCAGACCCAGTTTCTTATCACTAAGAGAAGTCCGGGTCATGTCCCTGAAAACCTGAACAAATTGGACCCAGAGTCTCTGGTTGAAGCTGGAGAGGGGTACCCCTTGTTGATGTCTGCACTCAAGTAGCACCTTAATGGTACCTGCCTTATCCTGCCCTACGGCAGTGAGGACCAAAGCCTTCATCTCATCGAGGGTTTCCCTCCCTTGCTGTTGGCCCTCGTGGAAGGCTGAATGGCCTGCTGGACTAAGGCACATGATGATTAATTTGGTTTGCTCCTCAGTGTCCAATCCGGCTATGACAGACTGTTGGTTGATCTCATTCAAAAATGTATCTGGGTCTGAGGCGGAATCAAAGAGATTCGCCTTTTTGGCAATGTCTGGCAGCTGGGTAGCTGGACTGGGTACTATATATGTCGTGTGACCATCAGCTGTTTGAGGCTGGGTGGCGACAGGATTCATGGGCTCTGGTTTTGGCTGTGGGTCAGGGGTGGGGACTGATGGTGCAGTTACCTGGTAGAAAGACAGCTGGGAACCCCATCTGTGGGCGGGTGTGGATGTGTCAGTGTTGGGCCTCTCGTCATTTCCCTGGGAAGATAGAACCCTGACGTTACGCATTATCCCATTCTGGGCAGAGACCTGGTTCCCTAGGGATGGTATTTGGTCCTGGCACTAAGCCCTGATGTGCATTGTTCAGTGCATATAGGAGACATATGGCAGTTTGGAGCTCCCTACACTGTTCTTCCAACTTTTCAATGTATACTGAGGCTTCTTCCCAGTCCCCAATGGCCCTGATCTCACTAAAATGGGCTCTTTCCAATTATAACTGAAACTGTCCCATGTGGGTGAGGTTTTCCTGCAATATTCTGCCAATTTCTTTTTGTAAGAGCTCCAGCTCTTCACAGTCAGCAGTTTACCCTGGAGTGGCTGGATGTCAACTATGGCTGGGAGTCCTTGAGGCTGCAAGCAGCAGCAGCAGAGTGTGATTTTTGCCAGGAAGAATCAATAAAGAGACTTCAATTTAAATGGGGTGTTGTTGCAGGTCTGTCTGAGTGTCTGGGTATAACATACACAGTCCCCAGCAGAAGGGGATTATGCTGTGACTGTCTGTGTGAGGGGGTGATATTCACAGAGTCCAGCAGAGGGAGACTGATGTTGGTGGTGTGTATGCTGTAATTGACAGAGTGCTGAGTGTAAACATCTTTAACACAGTCTGTGTCAAGGAGCTACTTCCCAGCATTGATTATCGATGAACTATCGATGAAAATATGGAACCTCATTGTCATATCCCTTGTTCTTAGGAAGGAAATACATTTGTTTCATCATCTTATGTTCAATTCTATCATACACTTCTGTTCAATTCTGTAATAAACATGTCTTCACTTGTATAATAGTCTTGTGTTAAATTGTAAAGAGAGTGTGTTCAATTATATAATGCATTAACATCATTTGGATAAATCTGAAGATCATTAAGCTTCCCGATTTTACATGTCTATTTTAGTTTCTTTAATTTTGTGCAAAAATCTTGTGTTCATTTGTGGAATAACTACTCTGTGCAAAAATCCCGCGTTAATTTGTGCAAACATCTTGTGTTCATTTGTGTTGTAATCATGTACTATAGCTGCTCGGGGTTTGAAACTTTAGCTTTGTGTATATTCCAAGTCTGGCTCCAGTGGGGTTGGGTAAGGACAGGAACAGACTTGAGCTAAACCATTGACTTGCTGCTTTCGCCCACACCCCTCTCTAATGCCACAAAGATGATTGTTGGTGTGCTTCAGGTAGAGGAGGCTGGAAGCTGACTGGATGAAATGGGATTGAGAGGAGATGGGCTGTGAGTCACAGAACCTGGGGGTATTTAAACCTGGCTCAGTTGGCCATTATCCCCTTGCTATTTGGCACCCAGGAGTGTGTATCTTGGACTGTAAACCCTAGTTCTGGACTTCCCTGACTTTGGGGAAATTCTTCCCGCATCTAGCCTGTCCAGTCCCATCAGGATTTTATATGTTTCTATGAGATTCCCCCTCATTCTTCAAAATTGCAATGAGTACAAGCCCAGTCGATCCAGTCTTTCCTTTATGTCAGCCCTGGGAATCATTCTGGTGAACTTCACTGGACTCCCTTCAATAGCAAGAATGCCCTCCCTCAGACTAGGAGACCCAAAACTGCACACAATACTCAAGTGTGGCCTTGCCAAGGCCCTGTATAACTAGAGCAAGACATCCATGCATGCATGCTTTATACAAACCCATGTCTTTGTTTGTGTGTGTGTGTATACGTGTGTGTGGTCAGACTGTTTTATTTTTATTCTGTGTCTCTGTGTGACTGACCATGCCTGTGTGTGTTAGAAATGCCCATACGCTCACACTCTCCTATTTACAAACCCTCCCTCCCAATCACTTACTACTCTCCCAGGATCACACACATGCTCACACTGTTGACACACTCAAACATCTTCAAAACCCTCACTCTCATATATTTACACGAATACTTTCACACTCATACACTTGCACAAGTTCACTTGCAGTTTTAGTCACACGTCAAACCACACTGTCAGGTAGTCTTTTTCACACTTACACAGGGAAACAAGGCAACCACACACACACACACACACACACACAAGGGCCTCACATTGTATCTACCACACACTTAGACACTCTTCAACACACTTACACCCTCCCCCACTCTGTTAGACATGCAAACAAACAAACTCACACAAGCTCACACGTTCTCTCAATCACACACCTAAATGCACAGACAAAACCATCTTTGCAGATGCACATACAGTCCAAAGCACAGAGTCACATAAATATATTTCAGGAGCAGCTGACCTGTGGAGGATATTTTGTCTGGGGACTGGGAATGAACTAAAACAAGCTCAAAGGCCTTCTGTCTGTTTCTGTCTGTTGTGGGTAAAGTGCCAATCTCTACTGGTGGATCAGTGCGACTGCACAAACAGAGGGTGTGGGGTTGAATCATCGAGGATTCAGTAAGAGGGTGGGCAGGTTCACAGAGCATTCATCAAAAACAACAGCAGCAACACAGACATGATGCCAGTGTGCAGTGTTTAACACAACTGTTTAACGAAAAACACTGTGGGTGAATACCAGAGTTATTTATTCTGCTTGTCTCGCTGGTGTAAAAAAACTGCACATTTTCATGATGTTCATCCGACATGGGAAATCAAGTAAAGGCAAAATTCATTGAATTCAGCAATGAGAAAACGAAAACAAACACAGTGCCAGTGTTAAATCTCTCCTGGGAGTAACAAACTGACTAATGGGGGGTGAGTGGGGGAGTAGAACCTTTCCTTATTTTCTTAGTTCTTTGCCTACTCGACTGAAGATGGCTTGAGGTAAGGTTTTCAAACAATCTATGAC